TGGATGGAAGAGTAATTATTTTTGACTGACTGACACATTTTTGTGCTTGTTTTTTTTTCCTTCATAAGAGTACATAATTTTGACTCCATGAACACAGGCTATTTTTTCTTGGTTGCTTGAGGGAAAAGTCTTTAAAAATCATCAGATTTTGTAGTTGGTTTGCCAAAGTTAACCCTTACGTTGTTTTGCAATACAACAGAGGTAGGCTAGTGGTCGCCTGCGATACCCAGGCTCATCAGATCAGCGAGTCGAGAGCCCTGGATGAGCAGTGGATGAGCAGTGTGTCCACTAGGAGAGAGGAGGATAGGGGGAGGTACCGGCCGTGGAGATGACAGATATGGAGGAACAGAAGAACCAGGGGCATGAGACCTCTGATAACAAACTTGTCGCCGTCCACAAAGAACCAGAACGTCGGTTGCAGTGTCCTAAAGGGCTTCGGCGTCCCAAACGTGGAAGGGGACTTTGAAGAGTTTGTTTTGGATTTTTGATGACTATGACTTGCTTGAGTCAATCCACACTCATCTGGGGTCATCGCCCGAGACTCCACGTAAGTTGTATGCATTCATTTTTTACCGTTCAACAAGAGCTATATTTAATTTAAATTTGATAGAAGTGAGAGTTACGTCGAGCTTCTGACCAAAGAAAATCTGATGCAATCATAACGCAGTGAGATATTCACATGGATGAGCATGATGACGGGATCTCGCTCGTTTACATTGATTATGTAGCATGCCGATTGCTTAATTAATGGCAATATGAAGCTTATTCATGCCCGCACACAGAACAGAGTTGTCCAAGGTATTGAGCGAATCGACTAGTGTTGGACTACTGCCGTTTCCTGCTCTCTTATTGATCCACTGGCACCCATTTGCCTCAGCTAGAGCGGAAAGACATTTCATTGACCAGCAACGTGTTCTCTATTTTTATCACTATTTGGATCAGGACAAGTTCTGTGATGGAGCTAGTTTCCAACTCGTACAAATGTTATGAAGTTGATCTGCCTGCAATTCTTTAGTGAATGTAGTATAATGGCTCATTGAAGGTTCAATTATATTTACATTTCCAAAGGGAACATTGAGCCCTTCACCCCGAATCCATTTTGAAAATGGTTTCCATTGGAATTGATTGTGAATCTATTTTTAATGGCAAAATGGATGGCAATGTCGGTCAGTCGCTATGGAAATATTTCAACAACTATTGGATGGATAGCCATGACATTCATGATCCCCAGAGGATGAATTGTAATGGCTGTAGTGATCCTCTGATATTTCGATAAGCGCTGTCATTAGGTTATTATGTAGATCATAATGAAGTAGCTATTAAACTAAAGACATATCCAATAGCTCAAGATTCAAAGGTTTATTGTCATTTACTACGTTGTAATTTTGTAATGTATGAAAAACTTAGATCGCAGGTTCCTCAACAGTGCAATTTACAAGACATAGACAAATAAATATTGAAAAAACAACAATACAAATTAAAATAGTGCAAGCTCAGGTGTTTAACAGTCGTATGGCCTGTGGGATGAAGCTGTCCCTGAGTCTGGTGGTTTTAGTCCGGATGCTGCGGTAACGCCTGCCAGACGGCAGCAGACAGAACAGTTTGTGGCTGGGGTGATGGGGGTCTTTGGTAATCCTGAGGGATTTCTTCCTGAGCCGCTGGGAGTAAAGGTCCTCCATGGATGGCAGCTCCGTCCTGGTGATGTGCTGTGCAGTTTTCACCACCCTCTGTAAAGCCTTATGATGAGGGCGGTGCAACCGCCATATCGTTTTAGTCAGCCCTAAACTAAAATACTGCATGTTATTATTTGCATTCTGTATTCACTACTGTGACTGTAGAACCATAGTCGTGTTTATCCACAGCAAGCTCTGTGCAATTATCAGATAGTCACCTGTTTTGGGTGTCTGTTGGCCAGGAAGCCCACACCCTTTATTGACTTTGTTTCACCAACAGTAAAATGATCGTCAAAGTGAGAGCAGGGGAATTAAGGCCATGTTTTTTAAAAACGTTTGAAGTCTTGTATCAAAAGGGTAAGTTCATAGTTCTAACAAATGTAAATCTCTTCTGAAAAAATAAACCATTGTTTCTTCAATATTATATTCCAATAGAACTAAACTACACATGAAAAAGATTGAATGCAACGCTACTTGGTTATGTTTAGGATACAAAATGACTTGGTCTAGGATTAGGGTTTTTGGTCGGGAGTTCCAAGTTTGTAGACCCAACTGCTCCAAGGTCCCCTAAATGTGGACTTTGATAAGAACCACATTTTATGTCAGAAATAATTATTATCCCAGAACTTTTCATTTGAGGCTGAATTGACAATGTAGTTTCTTCGTATTGGACCGAACATTAAGCTAGGAGATCAGGCTAGGAGAAAAAACCGGTATGAAGCCTTAAGTGTCTTGAGATGGAGATGAGCCAAGGTTGATAAATTGACTCAAGTGATGCTTACTTGGCCAGTTGGGTCTGAGGACCACAAGAATGAAAAATAAAACACTTTAGGTTAGGAGTTAGAAATATGTGAGCTTATCTGACCTCTGCTAATATCTGCTTCAAGCTAGCTTCTCAAGGCTACTTCATTCATTACAAATAAAAGCCCATCCCTGCTCTGTGTTAAGCAAGCGTAAACAAATGTTATCTGCAGCTTTGGAGACTATGTGACATTTTTTAAAGACTAATGATTTACTGTCTAAACTGGATGTCCTGGTCAGATCCCAGCCCAAGCTAGATTTTGGTTTATTTGATTACAAATATGTTGCAAATTAGATTTGAACACTAATTGGATTTAATCAAGGCCATGGAAAACAAAAAATCAGATCCTAGGACAACATAGTACCTGGCAAGCAAATGAATTCTGCTTTGAGGTTTTTATTTTGAAGGGATTTGGTAATTCTTGGGATTTGCCTGATTTTATAAATGCATAACCATCAGTTTTATCGCAATGAGGTGGTTGGTTACACGGGATGGCTTGTATTCATCAAAATCAAAATGATCTACAACATGTGTGTCTTTATATCGAGTTAACAATCAAGACCAATGAAGAGAATGCTCATATTGACCATGTTAAGTCCCGTCACAGAGCACAGTCAAAGTGGTTTTTTCAGCTCATTGCAAAAGAAAAAGATATTCATCTATGAATGTGACAAGCTCTACGGTCAGATATATTAAAGAAAAACATGTGACAATTCTGGTTAGATTTGACGGTGACTTTTAAAGGCTGTATCTGTGACAGCAACCTCAAATCAGTTATTCCCTTCTATCTCGGGGGCCAACTGCTGCACGGAAACGGAAATAATACAAAATAAACCTCTTAATTCCACACAAAAGGAAAGTAGAATAGACAGTATATTATTGACCAATTTATTCATATAAAAAAAACCAAGAAGAACAAACTACGTGCTTTGCATTTGGCTTCATCCGATTCACTTTGTGCTTGTTTACCTACAAGTATGTCTTTATAAATAAGGTTCTGATTCCAACAGAACAGGCAATGGCTAATTTTACGGTTCAACGATAGTTCAATTTTTATTTGCATAATTTCCAGATGGAATACCAAAATCTAGCAGTAAAAAAATATTAGGAAAATGTGTACTAGAAGAAATCGTGTACCATTCAAAATACAGTGCCACTCCTAGAGTTAGTTGTGACCTTCTCAACACGTAAATATTAGGGAGGCAGCAGTGCATGTGAAGGCAGAAATGCAGGTTAGCCAAGCAGATGTGGAAAACGCCTAATTGATGCTCTTTCTTTTGGCTACTGATCCAAATTGTCCGAAACTGTTGACACTGCAGACATTTTTAAACATTGTATGGGGTGCTGGATTATAACGATGAAAGTAATAAGGTTCTATTAGGCTTTTCTTTGTTTTTTAAGCATGGATTGCTTAATATTAAATGCCCTGGTCAGATACCAGCTCCAGAGGAAAGAATAATAGGTCCTTTTCAACTAGAGTAATTTGCCCTGTCCTTGCCCTGCTCTACGTTGAGAAACACAGCTCATCCAAATCAGCTTGTTAAGTACACAGAGCAGGTGTGGACCCTACTGGCAACAGGAACTTTCAACATAAACATTTTAATTTAAGGTATAACCAGAAAAGAAAAGAAGAGCATGCCACAAACAAGAATCGGACTTACCAGAAACCCCAGGACTTAAATAGAGTCTGAACTGAGGGGATGGGTGCAGGTGTTCAGGAGGTCAGGTGGTTGCAGGGCTGATGGGGAACAGGTGCAACCAATTAGGCCAGGAGAGAAAGGAAGTTCAAAGAGACATGACACGGGGACGATGTGTTTACAAAATAAAACAGGAAACATAAAAGAACAAAAATCTAAACCATGACACAGCTGCAGCAGGTCAAACAAGGACAGCCATCAGAGCTTTCCCTCAGGAGACTACAAGCTGAAATACAGCCTAACTTCATCTTGATTTCCATTTCTTTGTGTTTCCCTGAGGAAGTCATGACGCAGGAGAATGGAACACTGACTGCAGTTTTTTAAACACACACTCTCTCACCTCCACTTCAGTTACCTACAGCTGCTCATGTAAACCATTAGATATTGTGTTTTCTTAGTAATAAAATACATACAGAGGTTTGTTCCAAACTGGATGCAAATGTTGGTTTCTAAACTGTCCCCCAGATGTTTACCGTGACCTTAAATACACCAAACCCATGTCGAAACGTAACCCTATAACCCAGGGGCAAAATGTTCTGCTCAGTTTCCCATGTCCTACAAAGATTCTCTCTTACCAATGGAGCTTTGCCTTCTGTCATTGGATGTCCTTCTGTCCGCTGGAAACGTAAACAGACAAATTAGATTTAGGTTTTTCCAGCATGGAGCACATTTTTGGATAGAGAAAAGGTTTTTTCTTTGGTTCACAGCCCTCAAAAAAGGGCATTGCAGGCTACATAATGCAGTTCCTCCTCATGAAATTGACGCATCATGACTTAGCCATGCTGACCTATTTGCATTTTGACTTGAGAACACTTTGTGTGTGGACAGGTCACAGATTTGAGGACAACCCCGGGGTGAGGCGCCACCTGGTGAAGAAGTCCTCACGATGTCTGGTGACACGAAACAGCAGCGGCTCCATGCCGCTGAGCAGCCTGAAGAAGAAGAGAGCAGCAGATAAGAAAACACATGAGGTTTGAGGACCCCCCCATGCTACATGAAACACTTCAATATGCACCCAAAACATAACCATAAATGGTCAGTTATCCGAATCATCTTTAAAGCAGTATTAAGAGGAGACTCTACAGGTGAATAGGTACACATATTTAACTTATAGTTATCACCATGTAACTTTCCCAGTTGATTACATACACTAAGCCAATTTGTTTTATTAACATTTATATTAAATGTCATGGTTAAATATACAAATAAAGCATTATCTAATGCAACATGTAGGTGAATTGAGGAGAAATAGATAAACATAAATCGTCAGAGGAAAACAAAACACCGAAATGTATATTTCAATGTTTTCTTTCCACTAGTCTGAATGAAGACAACCACAACAATGAGCTGAAATAGGTTAAACTGTTCGAAACACTGAGTTGGATGATAATCATTTATGTGTGTATCACAACATATATATAGCCTCTACATAAATAAATATAGATATTAGCACATTCCTATGTCATTACCTAAAGAAACTTGAACATGCTCCTTGTGTTTCGTTTCCATTTAAAGCAAAAATGTCACAAAAACACACACACTAACCCAAATGAACCATTGAAAAACATAGTTTTGCCTGTAGTGTTTTGTTTAAGACCAAAACATTAGTTAAAGTCAAAATAGTTTTGAAACACTTTTGTTGGAGAAAAAAAAAGTGCTATCAATACATGCAGCCCTTCATATCACAAAGTCACTTTCCATTGTCGATATACATGTATATACAAACTTGTTGTTAAGTATGACTCCATATACAGTAGATAGGTCCTCATAAAGGCCAAGTCTCCTGTAGTGCAATCTCAGTTTCACATTCACATACAGTGACCTGATGAGACCTGAACTTGTGTTCAACCTCAATTTGACAGCAAAAAAGGTCCCAAACACACAAATCAAACGAGTGTTTTATTGTGTTGCTCTGAAAACACTTTGCTAAAATTGAATTATATGATAGAATGTGAATAAATGTCTCTCCAAAGCATTTGGTTATCCTCTGAGTCCAAACCACTCTCAGCTGGATCCAAACCGCTTAGTTAGGTTGCTCCCCATAATGTTGTGTGTCCGCTGTATCATCGGATTAGCTGTCTTTGAATTTATGTTGTTTTGATTTGAATATGCAAGAAAGGGGCAGCCAAACGGTTGTGCTGCTGTTTTTTTTTTAAATAGTTAGTATAGGTTTTAACCTTTTTAAACCTAGTTCGACTGTAGAATATTAAAAGTGAAAGATGTCATTTTCAACAGTTTTTATATGTTCGCTCTACTCCGTCTCCAGCTGTTTGTGGAGCTGAACGAGCTGATCGTGAAGGACCATGAAATGCGTTGGAAGGAGCGCGCCCGCTGGATCAAGTTTGAGGAGGATGTGGAGGAGGAGACGGACCCGCTGGGGCAAACCTCACGTGGCCTCGCTGTCCTTTCCGCAGCTTGCTGGAGCTCCGCCGCACCATCACACACGGTAAACAGCTCCTGAAGGCACCCAGCGGTTTTATGGTCTAATGGTTTCATGTGCAGCTGAAAATACTCACACAAAGATGAGTGGGAAAAGAAGAAGAACTCATCCAGTGTGCTTGGCTTAATATCTCAAATAACGAGATAGATTTGCATACATTTACCATGTTAACATTTAATCAAGTACTCAATGTGCATAATACAAAAGGCAGGAGGAAAGAAAAAGACAATTCTGGTGATTCATTTTTTAAGCCTGTTCCAAAAGTAAATCTCCCAGAAGTACAAAGCTAACGTAAGGCTATAAACAAAACTCCATCACATGGCTGGGCATATCCAGCGCTAAGCTAAAGGCGGCTAATGTTAAGCGTGATGACATGCAGGGCTGCCAACCCTCACGCATTGAGCGTGAGAGTCACGCAATTAACACATATCTCACGCTCTCACGCCACACATGCCTTTCCCTCACACTAAGTTTTCGTCCAAAATAAATGTATATAAATATAAAAATAAGTGAAGGAACAGCACTCTACTACGAGCGGTCTACGAAATGAGACCCGCGGTCCCTAGCACTGTCGCCTAGCAACCTGGACAGCGACACCCTGTTGTTCATGTTTTACAGGTGACAGGTGTGGGCCGGTTTGATAGACACTCCACCAGGGTTGGAGTTATGTGGGAGCCAATGGGAGCTGAGCTCCCATAAGGAGGGGTCTGAGCTCCCATGAAAGTTATTTAGGCTACGTTAACGAGGTAAATCGGCTAAAAGAAAAACATGTTTTCCAAAAGAAGTACGCATCGTATTCTCTCTTGAATGACAATATGCCTGCACTCAGGGATGTAGTGCTGCCGCCGGAGAGCACCGGGACGCCGCTCCGAGCGAGAAAGAGTGAGAGAGAGAGCGCACAGTACCTGGCGTTGTTGTTGTTATCTCAGTGGTTCTCAAACAGTTTGGTCACAATTTATATAAACAATTATCTCCGAGGCACACCTTCATATGATCATTATAGTTATAAAACAATAAGAGAATACATGAAAAACAGTTATGCAATATGACAGTAAAACAAAGAATAGTAAAACAAGAATAAAGTTTAAAAGGGGAGTGATTTGTAAAATATCCATAAAGAAAAGTACAATCTGTTTACAGTTCTGTTTTCAATGGGTGTTGAGAGATGTATCCATAGATCTCTTCAGTTTGCCCTCAAAATGCACCAGATTGATGCTTTTAACTTCAAATATTTAAAAAATAAATCTTCCCGGGGGAGCATGCCCCCTAACCCCCTACAGGATGTGAGGTCCACCCCCACTTAGAAAAATTGCACTTTACCCTGCTTACACCTATATGCCGTGAGCTGAGTCGCGGGTACACTGTGTATGTGCGTACTCCACTGCAGCGCCCGGTACATTAATGGGTAACCCTAAATGTTTGAGCACCCTCTGAAACGTCAAGCTACCCCACAGCACCCCCAAAACTAAATATCTGGTGCCGCCACTGGTTTATGGAAGCGACCTCTAATTTATTAGAGTTAATCCCTGTCAAGTTATGTTTGTCAATTTTTTATGTAAATAGTTTGTACAGGTTCAATACATTTGTAACACTGGACACATGAAAGTTTCTTTTTTTTGTTCTACTAAACTACTAATTCCTGCAAGCCTATATAACTGAAGCACATGTTCTTTAAACTCCTCGTGGCCTCTTTTGGCTAAAACTATTTGTACAAAGAACTGACAAAAATATACTGCGAGAACTTTTTCTACACCTGTGCTCATGGTCAAGATGTATACGAGACTACAGGTGACATAATCACAGCAAATAAAACTATTTAGATCAGACAGAGATACATTAGAATAGTTATTAAACAATCTGGTGTTAGCATTCTGTTTGGATCCTGATCTCCTTGTTTCTTCCTCCCCCAGGGGCCATCCTGCTGGACCTGGAGCAGAACACTCTGCCCGGCAATCGCCCACCTGGTGGTGGAGACCATGATCATCTCCGATCAGATCAGAGCTGAGGACAGATCCAGTGTCCTCCGGGCTCTGCTCCTCAAACACAGGTCAGTCACCAGGCTAACAGTAACCAGTGTCATAAAGCTGGTCAAACTATAAAGTGAATATTGCAAAAGTTAAAAATGCATAAATACAAAGTCATGGAGATAATTGATAATCTCCATGACTCCAAAGAAATTAGGGCATTCACTAATTAGACTATATTTGATTTTTCAACAGGCTACACTGGTTCAGGAATGCTGTTATAGAATTTTAGCACAATTATAAATGTTGCTTTGATTCATTATTAATACTAGCAACTAGTGTTTAGTTGACACATTTCTAGTGAACAATAGCACTGCATTTCCTGCTATTACTTCATAAGTCTATTCATCCTTAGCCAGTAAAGTGCTCTAAATTGTGAAGCTGCAGCAGTTGAAAATGTCCAGTGTGTATTAGCAGTTACTACATACAGCGAGTCCCAGTTCAAACTTAAAATATAAAAATACTGCAATATGTTTATTAGCTGGGAACAAGCACTATTGTTTAACCTTACTCAACAATAGTGTGTGACTTAACATTTAACTTGAAGATTATTATTTTAATATTAATAAGCACATTTAACGTGCCATTACTTGTCAGCTTAATGTGGGCACGTTATTTTTGACTTATGTTTGATTTATGAGGACTCTTATTCTGTCTTTTATAGGTTTGATCTAAATGCCTGAACCAGCACTAATTACAGGGTTTGTTTGTAGTGTTAGTTACCATGGCAACATATCTGGATTTCATCCCATTTAATACCAAAGTTAGATGACTTCAGGTGATTCTTTATCCGTGTATGTACCGACCTGTCAGTGTCTTGTAGTCAGGATGCAGCTGTGTTAACTATTTCAATGTGCTGTAGGTATGGCAGCATGATAAATCAAATCTTCCTCTTCTCCTCCTCTTCCTCCACCTCCTCCTCAGTACTCATCTTCCGGCTGTGTAGTTATTAAAAAAAAAAGAGGCAGGCTAAGGGAAACTGAACAGGGAATTTCCAAATTGTGACATTTAACAACAGTTGGCTAATCGTTAGTGTACTTCCCCGGGGTTGACTAAAGTTGCAAATGTTGAGACTGTGCTGTAGCTGCACTGAGCCGTAAAGTCTTCAGATTAAAAGTGTGAGTCATCCTGGCCCTTTAATACAGGTGTTAAACACATAGTATCTGTAAAAATAATGTGCTTTCTCTGATAGATTTACTTTCAATCTGATGGTAATAATTATGATGGACAGGTTGATCATCCCGAAAAATCATTTCAACCCATCAAAATCACTATTAATCGTCAATTATAGCAGATGTTTTTATAAAAGAAACTAACATTCAAATTGGCACCAGTAGTTTAAAAAATGTATAATAAGCTGCTGAAATTTCTTTTTATGTAGTTAAACATGTCATAAATCCCCATTTTAATATCTATTTCATATTGCTCTAAAAACATTACTTTAAACAGCTGTATTTGTCTTAAGTCTTTTTCCAAAAACTAAACTTACAAGATGTATTTGACCAAATAACAATAACGTTATAATTTACCTTCATCAAATACAAATGTTCACTGAATAAAGCTTGAACGCATCATACTGTAACTCAATGGAACCAAGCAGGACAGTACTTCCCACCAGTTGCTAACTGCTAATGCTAGCTAGCTCTCCTTCTGCGGATTTGTTGTTAACATGTAACGGCCTTTTCATTACTACAGACCAAGAATAAAAAACACAGTGATATAAGCGTGTAAAACATCTTAACTAGCATGAAACCACCCTTTTAACGATTGTTTTACTTTTCATAAATCTTGACTCAGTATGTGTTTGGTTTGAAGTCAGACAGACTTAAAACACAGGATTTAGGATGAAAGCAAATAAAGCTGTCAGCAGAACTTGTTATTTTAGCCTTTAAGGTATTTTCTCGATTTGTGGTTTCTGCCTGAGCTGTTTTTTTCCAGCTAACCGTGTTAGCCACTGTTATTATCAAGTTCGGTGTGTTGTTGGAAATGATTGGGTGGTGATGATGTAAAAAGAGCAGTATTGCTTGGTAGTAGAGTTGCATAGGGACTGGATATCAAGGCACCCAACAACTTGTTTTTAAGGTGTCAGGACCTTAATATGAAAATGAAATTAGTAAGCACACACAACTTCTTTGAGGACATTATCGTTCAAAGCAAGTGTTCGTAAATACCAGAGGGGATAGTTAGATCACATCCTGCACGCTGCTGAATTTAACATCAACATGCCATGTCATCTCTGCTCTACAGCTCTCTCAAATGGTTCCCACTTATTGATCAGCAATTGCATTGACATGACAGCTAAACTGACCTGACAATTACGGTCAATGGAACATGCGAGTAGTGCTTTATGGATTTTATCAGTTATGTAACCAAAAAAACCAAGTGAAGTAAATGTAGGCTGTCAAATTGAATTAACAGAGGAAAGTTAAGCCATGCCTGTCAGGAATACAGATGTTGTTTTCATGCTCACTCATTCCCCAGTTTGTATCTTGTGTTCAGGGATCGCTTTAAATTATATTCCGTATTTAATGGTCATTCAAAACAGATCATTTGCAATGCATGCCTGAACAAGGATTCATTTTTAAACCCAATTGAATTATAGTTGATTATTTAGCACAACACTTTATACACCCAAAAATTAAGAAAGATAACATTAAAGCTTTGATTTAAAAATCAGTTTAGTTTTTTACTGTAAAGTTACATTAAAATGTACATCTGTCGCACCAAAACAACAAAGATAATGTGATTCAGTATTAACTTTAAAGTTCAACTAGGAGGTTTACCTTTCAAAATGGCTGCCATTGTGAGACGGATTGAGCAAAACAACCAAGTTAAGGGATAGACTCAATCCGATCAGGTTATTTGGATGTTGCTGAATTCTCTCAAGATACTTGTTTAAAAAGGACATTTGATCTTTGATTATATCCAACCCAGTCTCACGGCATTTCGTGTTATAGTCACGAAATGTAATCTATTGATTCGTGTTCACCAACACGATTTTTCCCTTTTTTTTGTGTCACACAGAAAGATTTGAAAAGCAATGTATTTCAATTAGTAGTATGTTTTGTCCCGTCGGGTCTTGGAAGACCGGAAGCTGAAAAACATTTTCTTACTCAATATCAAGCCACGATTATTGTTTTTATTTTAAATTGTATAATGTCTGACTTTTTTTGCCGTCCGTGAGGAAAATAAATGGGGCTCAGAATACTGAAATATGTATTTTTTAAATCTTTTTTTCCTTCTAATGTGTTGTTCTTTTCTAAATAACACACTGTTATTTACAATTATCCTTGTTTTTATTTATTTGTTTAATTCTATAATCTCTGGCTTTTTTGCCGTCCGTCAGGAACTGAATTTCAAAATAAAGTCATTAATAGTGTTATGTATGAAATTATTTTGTCTATTAACTAGGGCGCCAGGTCATGTTAGGACTGTCTTTTCTATGTTGCTGTGGGGTTTTTTCATCAGTTTGGGGTTTTAAAATATAAAAAACAGTAATAAGTAAAGTAATAAGCCAATAAGTAATAAGCCTTATCAGCCATACTGTAACTACCAACAGCTTGGGGTGAAAACGAGGGGTTACGTATGGTAACCCTTGTTATATAAGCACAGGCAACCGGGTGAGGCCACGCAGCAGCATTATGCATTTGTTTACATGCCCACCGGAACCCCGAGCCATTACCAACAGATCAACGCACAATCAAACCATACAGGACATCTCTTTCTCCACATTAAGTGTTAGACATTATAATGGACTATTCTTGTCTGTCACATAAGTGGCGCAACTGAAGCGGTATTGCGCAAAAGGGGAAATTATTTTGACCGGACATTTTGACCGGAGAGATTTAGATTTGCCGGTCTTCAGCATATTTTACCGGTCATAGTCCGGTAATTACCGGCTAACGGGAACTCTGCCGCCTGTGCTTATATAACAAGGGTTACCATACGTAACCCCTTGTTATATCTCTCACAGGCTCCGCCCTCTACTGGACTCTATGGGTACAGTGGGCGGAGACCCGATGTATACACGCGCTGTCGTCCAACAATACCGTTCCACCCCACTGCCCCTGACCGGCTTTCTGGTTAGCAGCCGCTGCACCGCACCCTCCTTTACCTCGGTTTGTGACCGTGGAGAAGTCTGGGGCCGCGGCTGACAGAGCACACTCCAACGCGCTTACCTTGCAAAAAGTGTGCTCGGAAAACAGTGCTGAGGGCTCCCCCCCCACCCATAGGCAGACGGAGAGAGTCCCCAGCCCTGTATGGGCTCACTATGCACCACCTCTCCCGAGTCCCTAAGGAGCACGGGGAGAGCGCAAGTGCCCCATGTCCCCCACACTCAGACACTGACCCCGTGCAGAGTGTTTGTGGACAATAGTGTGGAGGGCTCTCCCCTCCTGCCCCTAGGCAGGCGATGAGAGCCCTCCAGCCCTGTATGGGCCCAGTGAGCACTATGTCCCCCGGGACCCTCCAGGGGGCCCGGAAAAAACGTAGGCGCATTACGCCCGGCGAGGGGGTCAGATGCCCACTGACCCACAGCCCCCCCCCTCCTCACCAGTCCTGTGTTGCCCCAGCAAGCACAGACGATAAGAAAGAGCCAGACATGTCCAAGAGATAAAAACTTTATGAAGGGACCTGGCGTTGACCAAGACGCCGTCGTGCATATATCCTCCACACTCACACCGTTGAATAAGGCTGTTGACACAGCCACAGCCCGTGTAGAGTGTGCACGGACCCCCGCATGGCAGGCTCTCCCCGCCTGTCCGTAGGCATGTGCAATGCACTCGCAGAGCCAGCCTGCCAGGCGCTTCTTGGACAGAGCTTTCCCAGTCACCCCGCCCCCAAAGCAGACAAACAGCTGTTCAGTGCGTCTAAGGGCAGCCGTGCGCTCCACATAACATGCTAGTGCACACACCGGGCAGAGGAGGTGCAGTTTAGCTTCCCTGGCCCCACTATGGGGTGGAAGACTAAAGCCCCCTAACTGAATAGCCCTCGACCTGAACGCACTCCTTAGGCTCTTGGGCAC